GTAATATGTGAGTTTCAAAGTAACCAGTAGTCAGAGTAGAGCTGCTACCCGAGCCAGTTGAGGTGGTTCAGGCATCTAAATAGGACGTCTCCTGAACGCTTGCTAGGTAAGGTGTTTTGGCCATATCCCACAGGGAAGAGACCCAGAAGGATTGGAAGAATCTCAGTGACAACCAGGAAGAGCTTGAGGAGGGGGCGGAGTGAGGGAGGGTGTCTCTGCTTAATCGGACCCAGACGATGATGCTTATTATGGATAATTAGGCTTATAGACTTATTGTTTGGAACCCAAATCGCTATCCCCTTGCTGATATGTCGGTCTTTTATATACAGTTCATGTTTTAAACCAGTATGTCAGATAAAATAACCACTAAAGCATGTTTCTGAAATGATTTTAAGCTATTAGTTTTATAATTAAAATAGTTTTATATAATTTAAAGTCCTAACTTCCTTTAATTGTAGGTGAAGGTAACGAAGAAATCGGCAACATGATTCAGAACTACATCAAAGAAATCGAGGAGCTCAGGTACGAAAGGAGACCAGATTTTAGCCTTAGCCAGATCACAGGAACGTGTCTGCAACAACAGTATAACTTCACATAAAAATGTGCTGCAAGTGTTTAGCAACAGTAACGTTTGTGTAATGTAACTCGTTCCTCAGAGCCAAACTTCTGGAGAGCGAGGCCGTGAACGAGAACCTCAGGAAGAACCTGTCCAGAGCCTCCACTCATTCCTCGCTGTACGGCGGCCCCGCCCTCCTCGCTCCAGGGAAGGAGGCCAGGGACGTCATCGAGATGGCCAAGAAAGACCTGGAGAAACTCAAGAAGAAGGAGAAAAAGAAGAAAAAGAGGTACGTGTTCAAGTTGGCACACAGTTGTGAAGCTCTAGTCCGTTCCTGGAAGTGCGTAAGAATAACGGCCGCTTTGCCAGGAAGTAGAAATTGGAGAGCTGTTAATGTGCAGCCAGAGTGTCGCCTCTTGGCGTGTTGTAATTATCTGCTGATTCCCTGCATTAGCAGTTTACACCCTGTTGTTTCTTTAATGGGATGCGTGCTGCATTCAGTCGCCACTTCTCCAACACGCTGGAGGCCATTGATCGCTGATCCTTTTGCTGCATCTGTCTTGTATATTTTTATTTCTATACATGCTTGGGATCTGCAAGTTACAAAGAACTGTTTATTTTCTTTAAATCAGGATTTCTCACATGAAATCTGCCTTTCTTTACGTCTCCATAACCAAAATCCATCATTTGAGCTGCTGTTTTGGGGGGTTTTGTCACTCACCTCTTGCTGATCTCTCTCGCCCTCTCTCTCTCTGTCTCTCTCTTATAAACATCCTTCGTTTTCCCCCAAATTCTGTGGCCTGTCTGCTCTCTTTACCTCCGCCGTCCTCACCCTCCCCACCTCCATCCTTCTCACCGAAGACTGAGGCAGTACGAAGAGAATCACCATCATGAGCTTGAGGACGCCAGGTTTGCCGCCTCCCATCAACAAATGGGGTTCAAATACTCAATCTGAAACTGGCAATGGAATTTGTGCCCTTCCCTTGAAGTGATTTTAGCTGATTGTTGACCCAACTCTTCCTTCTTTTCCAAATTCCCAAAGCAACTAACTTTTTCTGCACCTACAGGCGGTTCACAGTCCTGCAAAGGGAGCAGGGAACTTAACCAGCTCTTTCCTCGCCCTCTTTTTCCCTTTTCACTGCACACTGCAGGGTGTTGATCAGATCACGTTTTGTGATACCAAAACCATTGAAAACATATGAAATTTGGAGCTGGAGTTGATAAATATCACACATTTTGCTGTAGCGTGTGGCATTTGGTCAGCAGATCTTTGCAGTGTGCGGCGGCTCCTAATGTAACGTGGATGGTAGTTACTGATCGTTTAATCTCTTCGTCTCTCCCACTGTGTCCTCCATGTTTTGTGAAATCACAATGAAATCACTCATTAATCAAGCCTATAATCATTTGCATGTGTCATTCATCCGTATTTGCTGTGATTTAACTTCCTGTTAGTCCAAATTTGACTCTTGGGACTGTAGCATTTCCTTCTTAGACAGAGAGCTAACACTCTTTCCCTCCTTTAGTGTTGTGCTGCCGGACAACGATCAGGAAAGAGGAAACGAGGAGGCAGAAGTGGTAGGTGGCTGGATTATATAACTTAAACTGTAAATATAATATGTAAATGTCACATATTACTCAGCGTTTGTTACCATTTTACCAGGAGGGCAGCGACCACGAAGAGGGCGAGGATGCTGATGGAGAAGAAGAGGACTTTGAGATGGCGGGAGATGAGACATCAGAGGAGTCTGACTCTGAAGAACTGGATGAGAAAGGTACAGCTATCCAGAGGGAAGGAAGTATCAAAATAAGAGCTCATCTTTGTTTCCCCAGACAAAACTGTGCACAGATTGTAAAGAAACCGCACCCTGAACTTCACGTTTCTTTTTGGGCGTGTGCAGAAAACGTTCAAGCCGACCTGGCCAACATCACCTGTGAGATCGCCATCAAGCAGAAGCTGATCGATGAGTTGGAGAACAGCCAGCGGCGTCTGCACACTCTCAAACAGCAGTATGAACAGAAGCTGATGATGCTGCAGAACAAGATCAGAGACACGCAGCTGGAGAGGGACAAAGTGCTGCACAACATGGGTAAGATGGAGAAATTAGGATCTGCCTGTTCAAAGAGGATTAAAGAGCAAAGGAAATGAAACCTACTCCATCCACAGGTTCAGTGGAGTCCGGCACGGAGGAAAAGGCCAAACGGATTAAAGCTGAGTACGAGAGGAAGCTGAGCTCCATGAACAAAGAGCTGCAGAAGCTCCAGTCTGCCCAGAAGGAGCACGCCCGCCTGCTGAAGAACCAGTCGCAGTACGAGAAGCAGCTCAAGAAACTCCAGCTGGATGTGACCGAGATGAAGAAAACCAAAGTAAAGCTCCTTCTTTTCATTTTGGGATAAGCAGCACTTTTCACACTCGTCTTGTAGCCGCGCTGCTACACTTGCTGTGTTATGCTTGTCCACCAGGTGGCACTGATGCGCCAGATAAAGGAGCAGCAGGACAGGAACAGGGCCACAGAGTGCAGGAGGAACAGAGAGATAGCCTCGCTGAAAAAAGACCAGCGCAGAGCTGAGGTAAGAGGCACAGGAACACTCATGTCTTATAAAGTTGATTTTGGATCATACGGACAAAACTAAAATCAAGCTTGTCTCACAGCACCAGGTGAGGCAGCTCGAGGCCCAGAAGAGACAGCAGGAGCTGATCCTCCGTCGGAAGAACGAAGAGGTAAAACGCAGTTGAGGGAGGCAATGATGACTATGTTACATGTGG